CCATAGGATAAAGCAAGATCCACAGTGGAGCAGAGAATGAGTCTCCCCTCAAGTTACTCTAATGGATGTGTAGAAGTCTCAAGAGCAGGATCTTCTGTTATTTATACCCATTCTACTCCTCTGTTTGGTGGATTCCCAGATATCCATTCTTTTTTTTCCCCCATAAAGACTGCAAGGGTTGCCTCCTCTGGATTGAGGGTTTATCTGATGGGGGGTGAGGAGCAGGATCTCTAATATAGATATTGGGTAATAGGAATAATCCAGAACAGGAATTTAAGAAGAGAGTTCATTTTGTTTCCAAATGTATTGGGAGAGGACCATTAAAATAATGGCAGCCCCTCGAAGCTGACAATGGATGATACTGATAAAACCTGACAAATCCGGGGCAGTGAAAAGATGAAGTTACATGCATTATGCAATAGTTACAGCTACACAGCCCCTACTTCTGGCTGGACACAGCAGTCAGAAGCAGGGAGAATTGTTTTGTGCAATAATAACACTTGCTAATCCAAGACACATGACTCCAGTCCATGGTGAAAAGACACGGCACCATCACTGAAATCTAAGATGAAAGACAGTTGCCTCTTAGCTTGGTTCCTCCACCCAGTCCTCCGGCTGCAACAGGCAGAGAATCTAATAATCAGGTGGGGATGTGGCTTAGATCAAAAGTGAGATCCAGGGACCAGGAACTCACCCGCCCTGTGCATATGGAGGATGCACACCATGGAGGTGGGGTGAGAGGGGCTTTCCCAGCAGAGACTGAGTGGCAGTGAAAGGGAGTGGACTCCACCCAAGGGCTACAGAGCCATCCAAGGAGACAGAAAGTGCTGCTGAAATCCAAGGACCTGTCAGGGAAGGAGCCCACAATGGTTTCCCTTAGGTGGCCTCACTTGGTGTATTATATTCCATTCTTGGCCACTCATGACTTTCACTCTTAGGAGGAGGATATTTGTAAAATTACAAACAAAAGGGATAAAAGAGTTGTTTAAAGAGCCCAAGGAGGATTAAACACAAGACCTCATTATGTAACATTTGTGATTTCCCTCCATCAGCCTATTTTTTTTTAACCAGGAAGGGCAAGGTCAGGATCCAGTGAGGTATGAACGTGTGGGTATTGGGAGAATGGGCTGAGATGAGTCACCTTTTTCCTGGTCATCCCTGAGGGTGTGTCTGTAGCCTCCCCACTCCAGGAGCAAGGTTAGGCAAAATGTCAATTTCTAAGAGGACTAAAATGACTTTATACACACTGCTTCATGAACCAGTTCACTGATATTTTATTCCTTGCACTTAACGTGGGGCAACCTGGTGTTAGGTAACTGAGTTGGGTTGGCAATATCTACTCAGCTTCAGGTGTGGATGATGATGATAATAATAACAATAATAATGACGACCACAACCAAAGCAAACCCATTATCAGTACCGGCCACGTGCCAGACCCCATGCTAGGTATGCAATCTAATTTTTTAAAATATTTTTTTAGTTGTAGATGGACACAATATCTTTATTTTATTTACTTATTTTTTTTATGTGGTGCTGAGGATCGAACCCATTGCTTCACACATGCAAGGCAAACATTCTACCACTGAGCTACAACCCCAGCCCATATGCAATCTAATTTAATCATTACTCTTCCCTGCATGATCGGCATTGCAGCATCTGCTTTATACACGAGGAAACTGAGGCATGTCAAATAACTTTATACGATTCTAATTCTTTCTCCTCAAAACCCTCTTCTTACTGTGGAAGTCAAGCAGAAAATTGTGGAGGTGTGCAAGAACCTGAGAAGAGCAAAAATGAATTTGAACAAATGGAGAGATTACTCACAGCAGGCGCAAAGGCTCCAAGCTCTCCCTTGAGGCAGCAGGATAAACTTCATTATTTTTTATCATTCCCAGTTAAATTGAATGCATGCCTAAAAAAAAATAGCCCGGTTGCAGGAGAGTGCCCAGATGGGAAAAGGGTTGTGAGAGAGGGCTGGGGAGGGTGGTGGAAGCTGGTGTCTGCCTGTCATCCTTTGCCTGCAGAGGATGCAGAGGACCCTGGTGTACATGAGATCATGCTAGATTTTGAATGCCTCATGAGGAAAGTGAGAGGAGATAAAAGATATTTGAAGTGTTAGAACAATGATAGTATCAGTGCTGTCTAATAAATACCTGGTGTGGCATGAAAGTGGCACAAGCACCCTCAAAGCGTCAATTAAATTAGGTGGAGTGAGAAAGAGAAGTGGGGCAATTGCAGGCTGTGCACACTCATCTTCTCTTGTGGTGGGGACATCCACGTACCCTCCCTGCCTAGGGTGTGAATAACCTCCAGCTCTTTCCTTTTGATGTCCCTCTGAGCCTGCACTGCATCATAACTGTCCTGGGCATGACAAAGCACCCCTGCAGCGGACATAAATCAGAATAGCCACCGCCAATGTGCACCCTGCCCACTCTTTTGGTTCCTAGGTTTTATGACAGTGGGCTCCCTTCTTCTCTGCTGAGATTATGGCTGAAAGCTTTTGTTAACGCATGCACATTCTTAATCTGTATTAGATCCCAGGTCTCCCACCCTGTGATTTATGCATTTGCCTGTCTTCTGTGTTGAGTTCCGAAGAATTGGAATTTGTGTAAAGGTTACGCAGGAGTAGAAAGCACATCTGGAGCTGTCTCAAGCTACACAGTTTTAAAGGCCCCAGAGCTGTCACCTTGAGCTGTAGGAAACAGAACACTGGCCCAGACGAACAGCAGTGCCCCTGTCACGAGGTACACACAGGCCAAAGCTCAGGGGGTGGCAATGCTAGCCTGAAATGTTCAATCAGTAGGTGATCAGACCATTAAACTATAATTAGGTGTTATAATTATTGAATACCAAAAGGCATTATAATAATAGAAGTTGTATCGTTCCCATTTTATATCTCAACTGGGATCAGATTAGTAGCCTATTCAGTATAAGGGCATTGAGTAATAGCTGCTGGTCTGCAGGAGGCATCACTTTGATGAAAGTTGCTGGGTGAGCTGTTTGATGGAAGCCCGGACACTTCTTTGGTGGAAAATGGAAATTGACCTGATGATGTTGCACGGAGACCTGGAAATTTCAAAGGCCTACCAACAAAACAAAACAACCAAAAAGTCTGATAAAATAAACAGCCTCTCAATCCCCCAAAACAAAAACAAACAAAGCCTTACTTCTGGTCTCTAAAACACAAAATGAAATGTAAACAGTTGTCATAAAACATTCTATTTTTAGAAACAGGCTGTATTAGAGAAATGAGTATATAAATTCCTGAGGAAAAAAAAACACCAGAATTATGCTTACATTTGGGTGCATATGAGTGGATGAACAGGTAAAGCAGGCATATTGGGAACCAGGTTGATAAGGTGTTTTCAGGATTTATGATGAAACGGTGATGGTGTATAGCAGAGAAGCCCACACACGTGGAAAAACTGAATTTTCTTATCGACTCTGACAGTAACCTTTTGGTCCCTTTTGTTTTTTTCTTTTCAGAACTCTCTTCGCTCACGAATCACCAGAAAAGCCAAAATGTTGGTGCTACTGGCTGGTATCTTTGTGGTCCACATCGCCACTGTCATTATGTTGTTTGTTTCCACCATTGCCAACGTGAGTCATGTTCTTTTGTTCATTCATCCATCGAGGAATTATTTGAATATTCACGTAAAGTGCTACAAAAGACATTTAAGCCACAATGCCTGCCCTTTATGAACTTCCAGCTTGGTTGAAGAAATAAAATAAACACACCCTCACACTTCAAACAATTCAATAGCTAAAGGCCACCAATCACTAGGCTGCACGAGTGATCCCGCCAGGGCTGATGGTGTGGAGGCAGGAGGATGCAAGGAGCTTCCTCAGGCTTTAGAGGAATTTTCCTCTCAGCAGAGGCACCCTGTGCCATGCACTTGGAGAATTGAGAGATGAGTGGGGTTTCTCCAGGGAAAAATGGACAGTGCAAGGACCCAGGGATGCATTTGCGGCAGGAGTGCTAGGAAAAGGTTCGTCCCTAGGAAGAATGTGCTTTGTTCTGAGGATCAGGACACCCATCTGGTTGGAGCAGACCTTCCCGACCTTCTGGGAACCTTGATTGAAAGAGGGCATGGAAGTGAGACGATAGGGACTTTTGCCAGATTGATGAATTCAAGTTTTGGGTAGAGAGTAGCTTGTGAAATGGGATTTTGCACCATTTACCTGGTGACCCTGAATTAACTTGGTCACACATAAAATCATCAAACTAAGGTGGTGTCTTTTCTCTCTCTCCGAACCTTGGGCTACTCTGCCCTCTAGTGGTCATTTTTAGCACTCAATTTGCTTTTATTGTGGCTGGTCTCAAACAAGACAGTTGGATTTAAACACAAAGGCAATCAATCTGCGAATGATGGTTCCAGAATCTGTTTAAGTCTCAGCCACAGTTAAGGAATAATTAGGTTTTAAAAGTTACAGAGAAGAGCTTTGCAAATGTTGGTAGGTGTGAGTATAAGCAAAGCTAACTTAATCATAATGGTGGTAAGCCAACCCCCGACTCATTCTGCCTCTTTCAGATTTTGTAATTTAGTCATCTGCATGCCAACCCCTACATCTCTCAGGATAAGAAGTCTGATAAACTTCAAAGCATGTTAAGGGATGCCCACGTGTTTCATATTTGGGCCTTAAGATAGGGCTTGGCACACAGGAGCTTAGGGAGAGCAGGTGACGGCACATCCTTGGTTTTGCTTTTCCAGTATGTGGATGTTTTATGTGTTTGTAGACAGGATTCTGCATTGCTTTTCTTTTTTAAATATCTACTTTTTTAGTTGTAGACAGACACAATACTTTTATTTTATTTATTTATTTACTTTTATATGATGCTAAGGATCAAACCCAGTGCCTCACATGTGCTAGGCAATCACTCTACCACGGAGCTCCAACCCCAGCCTTCTGCATGGGTTTTCTATTTCAGAAGGGTCACTGTTTTTCTTGGGCTGGGCAGGAAAGGATGCTGGTACCATGGTGAACCTGGGGGGAGATATTCTAGTCCCTCTTCTGTTTTTATCTGCCCCCACAATAAAGCTCTTGCTGCATTGTTTTACTTTGTCTTTATTTTGCAAGTTGTGAAAGTTGAAGTTGGAAGCTTCTGTGTAAGTGAAAATGGCATATTGATGACCCAGATTCATTATTATTTTCCCAGGAGCCACCCTGTTTCTTAGTTGTCTTCAGTCAGACATTTTTTTTTTCTTAACCCTTGAGTTTCTTGTGAGCCAGACCCTTAAATGAGACGATTTTGAGAGAGTGGATAAATTGTGCATACTTAATACCAGTTTCCTCATCTAGGGCTTTTGTTTCTGAGAACCTTAGAATGTTAAACTACTATGAGTGAAATTATTTACATTTAATTTTGTTTTTTTCAAGCCACAAGGAATGTAAAGTCCAAAGAGACTAGAGGACCTTTTTTCTGGCTCATGCATTCTCTCTCTCTCTTATCTCTTGGAGCTTTTGTAACTTCAGGCAACTTTAATTGGACCTTATTTCCACCAAGAGGTAGTCTGCTTAGCTGTATTTATGGCTACAGAGGGGGTGTCTTGATTAAGATTTGGTTGTGATGTAAGTTGATCTGTTATTTTATTTTCTCTTTTTTTAAAGTAGAGGATCAGTTTTTAATCACCTTTTTGCTTCTTTCTGGCTTCAGGTTTGGGTGGTTTCAGATGATATTACATCATCCGTAGGTCTTTGGAAGAACTGTACCGGGGGTAACTGTGGCCAAGATCTTATATATGGCAATGAAGGTATGTAGCAAGATGTCAATCCACTGCCAACAATGGGTGTGGTCAGGGGAATGCCCAGTGTCTCGAGTGGCCTAATGCCCTTGCTCTCCCCGCCCTGTGTCTGCAGATGCCCTCAAGGCTGTGCAGGCCTTCATGATCCTCTCCATCATCTTCTCTGTCATTTCCCTCCTGGTCTTCGTGTTCCAGCTCTTCACCATGGAGAAGGGAAACCGGTTCTTCCTCTCAGGTGCCACCATGCTGGTGTGCTGTGAGTATCTTGGGGGCAGACTCTGGTTTATGTGGGAAGCGTTTAAAAACGGTGGGTTCTTCTGGATACTTCAACAGATTAACATATGGCTCTATGAAATTGCCTTCTACATTTTTCTCCTTGGATTGCTTAGATTGAGAACTCCTCATGTGCTATACTGTTCAAAAAAACTAGTGTTCCTGGCAGCTACCGAAGCTGGCACATGCCTATCAGTAGTGCTTGCATAGGGGACTTTTGAAGAAGGTGGGAAGGTGGGAATCCTAGGAAGATGCAACTTCTGCAACCCTGCAAGCAATTATTGCAGTTCTCAGTGTTCTCTCATCCCGAGTACACTCAGTTTGATGGAAGTCTATGTCCTTTTGTACCTCTGAACAGTCTGCCTAGACAGGGGGGTTTCAGACAGGAAAGCCAGGTGTTGATAGTATTCAATGTTTTGCTTCACACTTGCAGCCTCACAAACTGGAGTAGATGTGAGAGCCCACCCATCTCTATTTTATCAACACCATCAACAAGCTTAGTCCACAGCAAACCAAAAGCACTCCTGTTCAGAGACAACCAGTGTTCACTTTTCCATTGCTATATAATAGGTAGATAGATCCATCTACCTATATATGATCTTTCCTGATTATTAATTCTAAAACCCATTTTTTTCTTGGTTAAAACAAGAATAATAACAACACTTTGTCTTCCGGCAGGGCTGTGCATCATGGTTGGAGTGTCCATCTACACTCATCATTATGCCAATTACAGTATGAACTTTTCACCGGGCAGCCACCACGGCTACTGCTTCATCCTGACCTGGATCTGCTTCTGCTTCAGCTTCATCATTGGCATTCTCTATCTTGTCCTGAGAAAGAAATAAAGCTGAACAAGTGTATGGGGACCTGGGGGGTGGGGTGGGAGGAGGAAGCAGTTGAATCTGGGAGGGAAGTGGAAGTCATTGGGCCGGAAAAACCAAGAGAGGGGAGGGAATGGGGAAGGGGAAGGAAGGGTGGGAGAGGTCTAAGCTCAAATCATGACTGGGAAGATTCTCTATGGTCAAGCCCCTGCCCTTAGGAGAAAGTCAATGACTTGTACTTTGATGCTCCCTGATAGGGGCCAGAGGGCCTCCCTCCAGCCACCAGACTTGGCCTCCAGCTTGGCCTCAGTTACATGCACCTCCTGAGGTCCCATCGGCTGCCGTTCTATTGGCTCCACTTCTGAGGGTGAATCTGGGTCACACACTGGAGATCTTGCAGACCTACTGCACCAAAGCGGTACAAGTTCTGGCTGGAGCAGATACTCTCTCTGTGCTGACTATCTAAGTCTGAAAACCACCCTGCCCTCTGACCCAAAGCAAATGATCACTTTACCATATGAAGTGCCTACAAGAAGGCTTTGGCTGGGGAACCATCGTCCCTCTTTGGTGGAGGTGCTTAGCTCCATGGAATTGGGTGGCATTTGTGACTATAGCAGGGAAGAGAGAGAGTTTATGGGGCCAAGTTGGTGGGTTGGCTAAATCAGGGGCGGGGCGGGGAAGAATAAAAAAGCTTTTCACCATGGAAGGCCTGGGGGATGGGCAGAGCCCAGGCCAGACCTCCTACATTGCTGTCCCTCATGGACACCTCTTGCCACAGACTCTGCTAGGCTCTCATTGAAAGCGAAGGCAGCTCTTCTGGAGTTTCTCTAGAGCAATTAATGACCAACTCAGTAGTGAAAGCCCCATGCAGATGGTGGGATCAAGGGACACTCTTGCCACAGTGCTAGGCCAGGGTTATGTTTTTAGGATTCCCCAGGAAGTTTTGTCTAATTATCCATACTGGCGGG